TTGCGAATGCAAAATGAACCCTTTGCAGGGTTTCAGCAAGATAGAAACTCTCGCACCTGCGCGCGCTCCCAAAAAGCGGCGCCTCGAATACTTCTCTCCTTCTTAGAGTGTTGTTTTTTGGGAGCGCGCGCAAAGGTTTCTATCTTTGCGCGGCACAACCCTCCCAAATGCATCTTTGGGAGCGCGCGACGTTTCTATCTTCTCCAGGACCGTTATACTTGCGGTTGTGGGTAAAGGCGTGGTCTCCCGGTCTTTAAGGAGAGATAAAGGATGTGGATGAAGAGATAATGATGGACGAACGAAGAGAGAAGCCTTGTGAGGGCTGGCCCAGCATTCATCTCTATCCCTCACTCTCTATCCTTCGTCTCCCAAGCCTTTATCCAACACACAGCTACTTGCGGTTATGGGTAAAGGCGTGGAAAAGAGAAAGGAGTAGCATGAAAGGGTGAATTGCCTTCACCCCATCCAACAGCTAAAAAGAGAAGCATCTTTCATTTCTCTTCCTACCCCTTTTACGCTAGTGAGAGGCATGCCCTCCACCTTCCCATCCCTTCCTCACTCTTTCCAACCTCTCTGCTTACTCGCGAACAAAGGGTGCGACATGCCTTTCACGTCCTAGCCCAGGGGCGTGCAGGATGCTCAATGTTTTTTGATGTTGAAACTATAGAATTGAACTCTCAAAAAATACTCTATGTTAGATTTTTTAGAATTCTAGATGGTCTCAGCCCAGGAGGGGCCCCTTGATTTTTAGCTTTTCTTTTTTGAATTTTTAGACCTTTTAGAAGCTTTTTAAATGAGTTCCAAAAACAAATCCCAAAGTTCTAAAATTCGTACCCCACATATTTAGAATTCGAGAATATTTAGAATTCAATTCAAAAATTCTCAAAATCGGACCCCGAAGTTTAGAATTTTTAGAACTTTTCAGAACTCAATTCTAAAAAAACTAAAAGTTCTAAAAATCGGACCCCCGAAAATTGGAATTTTAGAATTATTAAATTTCTAGATGGTCCCAGCCCTGGAGGGGCCCTGCCAGGACGCTTGATTTTTAGATTTTTTCAGATTTTTTAGATTTTTTAGAACTTTTAGAATTTTTAGAATTGAGTTCCAAGAATTCTAAAAATCGGACCCACGAAATATTGAATTTTTAGAATTTTTAGAATTATAGATGGTCCCAGCCCAGGAGGGGCCAGCCAGGACCTTTGATTTTTAGATTTTTTAGATTTTTTAGAACTTTTAGAACTTTTAGAATTTTTAGAATTGAGTTCTAAAAATTCTAAAATTCGGACCCCCAAAATTTAGAATTTTTAGAATTTTTAGAACTCAATTCTAAAAAATCTAAAAATTCTAAAAATCGGACCCCCGAAATTTAGAATTTTTAGAATTTGTACAATTCTATAGGTCCCAGCCCAGGAGGGGCCCAGCCAGGACCCTTGATTTTTAGAATTTTTAGAATTTTTAGAACTTTTAGAAATTTTAGAATTGAGTTCTAAAAATTCTAAAAATTCTACAATTCTATAGGTCCCAGCCCAGGAGGGGCCCAGCCAGGACCCTTGATTTTTAGAATTTTTAGAAGTTTTAGAACTTTTAGATTTTTTAGAATTGAGTTCTAAAAATTCTAAAAATTCTAAAAATCGGACCCCCGAAATTTAGAATTTTTAGAATTTTTAGAACTCAATTCTAAAAATTCTAAAAATCGGACCCCCGAAAATTGGAATTTTTAGAATTTTTAGAATTCTAGATGGTCCCAGCCCAGGAGGGGCCCAGCCAGGACCTTTGAATTTTAGAATTTTTAGAATGTTTAGAACTTTTAGAATTTTTAGAATTGAGTTCTAAAAATTCTAAAAATTCTAAATTTCGGGGGCCCGAAATTTAGAATTTTTAGAATTTTTAGAACTCAATTCTAAAAAATCTAAAAATTCTAAAAATCGGACCCCCGAAATTTAGAATTTGTAGAATTTTTAGAATTCTAGATGGTCCCAGCCCAGGAGGGGCCCAGCCAGGACCTTTGATTTTTAGAATTTTTAGAAGTTTTAGAACTTTTAGATTTTTTAGAATTGAGTTCAAAAAATTCTAAAATTCGGACCCCCGAAATTTAGAATTTTTAGAATTTTTAGAACTCAATTCTAAAAATTCTAAAAATTCTAAAAATCGGACCCCCGAAATTTAGAATCTTTAGAATTTTTAAAATTCGGACCCCCCAAAATTTAGAATTTTGAGAATTTTTAGAACTCAATTCTAAAAATTCTAAAAATTCTAAAAGTCGGACCCCCGAAATTTAGAATTTTTAGAACTCAATTCTAAAAATTCGAAAAGTTCTAAACATTCTAAAAATTCTAAAATTCAAAGGTCCTGGCTGGGCCCCTCCTGGGCTGGGACCATCTAGAATTCTAAAAATTCTAAAAATTCCAATTTTCGGGGGTCCGATTTTTAGAATTTTTAGAATTGAGTTCTAAAAATTCTAAAAATTCTAAATTTCGGGGGTCCGATTTTTAGAATTTTTAGAATTTTTAGAACTCAATTCTAAAAATTCTAAAAGTTCTAAAAATTCTAAAAATTCTAAAAATCAAGGGTCCTGGCTGGGCCCCTCCTGGGCTGGGACCTATAGAATTGTAGAATTTTTAGAATTTTTAGAACTCAATTCTAAAATTTCTAAAAGTTCTAAAAATTCTAAAAATCAAGGGTCCTGGCTGGGCCCCTCCTGGGCTGGGACCATCTAGAATTCTAAAAATTCTAAAAATTCCAATTTTCGGGGGTCCGATTTATAGAATTTTTAGAATTTTTAGAATTGAGTTCTAAAAATTCTAAAAATTCTAAATTTCGGGGGTCCGATTTTTAGAATTTTTTGAATTTTTAGAACTCAATTCTAAAAATTCTAAAAGTTCTAAAAAATCTAAAAATTCTAAAAATCAAGGGTCCTGGCTGGGCCCCTCCTGGGCTGGGACCTATAGAATTGTAAAAATTCTAAAAATTCTAAATTTCGGGGGTCCGATTTTTAGAATTTTTAGAATTTTTAGAATTGAGTTCTAAAAATTCTCAAAATTCTAAATTTTGGGGGTCCGAATTTTAGAATTTTTAGAACTCAATTCCAAAAATTCTAAAAGTTCTAAAAGTTCTAAAAATTCTAAAAAATCTAAAAATCAAAGGTCCTGGCTGGCCCCTCCTGGGCTGGGACCATCTAGAATTCTAAAAATTCTCTTAACTAAGACTTGGTTATCAAAAGGCGAATGGCCCGTTCACATTATACATAAAGTTCCCTCGTACACCCCCCCCCCACACCCACACACACACACACACACGCACGCACGCACGCACGCACGCACGCACACACACACACACATACACACACACACACACAGACACACACACACACATTCGCGCTGTTCCGTGCTTGGTGAAGCCCAACACCTGGCAGAAGTTTGCCCTTGGTCCTTCAATACAAATCAAGCCAAAGAGCGAAAGCAAGCTTGGCGCCCTTTTCAGAGGTCTCACCTCAGTGGGCATAAGTTCGTGCCTCGTCACTGGTGCGCATGCGCTGCCGCAAGGAAGACCTGACGGTCCGGTCGGTGTTCCTTTGCACTGGCACTTGATATGAGCCATGGTCTTTATTTATGGCGTCTCAAAGATACATTGGTGTCTGGTGAGCATTTCCTAGTGGACATTTGGTGAGTGTGGCCCATGCCATACCCTACACTGCAGTAGATGATGGTCAATTTATTGACCGCTACTCTAATAAGACAGTTCAGTGTCAAGCAACCCGACACCATATTGCATTTGGCAATTGCGGCTAGGATCACAGCTTGAGCTGTGCAAATATTACGAGTACCGTAAGCGGGAGACCACGCCTACTTCGACCTAAACCCGTGGACAAATATGGCCACACGCTTTAATTGGGGACCCTTTGGTAGACATCATTTAGGTGGGAGTTCATATCCGCCACCCACTTTCAAGGGGGTTCCTTGCTAAAATTCATTGCCATGACCCCAAAATGACCCTCTGGCCTCTTGGGCACAAGCAGCTGAAGGCCCCTCTCCGGCTGCAACTGCCTGAGGCAATGAAAACGCCTCCGCAAAAATCAATGCCAGAGTGGGGACGATGGATTGTTTTGTGGACGCATGATGCGAGAATGCAACTCTTTGACAGGCCCATCAACTTGCAGGGATTCTGTTTGACAAGTTCATAAAGAGCAGCTCTCTGCAATGCTAGTCCCCCCTGAAATGCAACCTCCGAGTATTCAAGGCCTTCTCCAGCTAAATCACATTGTTTTGTGAAAGTCCTATTGGCCTAACATGGAGAGAATAGGAGGGACCGGAGAAAACTGACAACCAGGATTAGTCTTCTTTTCAGGACCTCGGCGGCCTCGCCAGCGGCAGGTTCAGGGGGCAGCATTCTGCAAGAGCAGAGCTTGGAAGGCTGCTCAGTTTCAGCCCTCCGCTCCAAGCCGAAGAAGCTGAATGACAACTTGAACGTTGTGCTGAAAACTATGACATGGGCATGTACCAACATGAGGGGCCCAAAGTTGTGATTTTTACTCTTGGTTACTTTTCAAACCCAGGTGGAAAAGGTACTTTCCAAAAACACACACGCACATGGTTGAGGCAAAGACTCGCCAGCCAACTCTAGGTGCCCCTGCGTTGGGCTCATCCGGGACTGATCTGGCTCCCGGTAGAGTCGTCCGTCCTGGATGGTTGGTCTTGGGACGGGAGGTTGTGGGCAGCAGGGCTACACCACTCATTCAACCAAATTAAGAAGAATGCTAAGTACTTGACCAACACTTCTCGTCTAAGCAACACCTGCCAAAATCCTTGCGTTTAGCTCACGTCTGAGTTTCCCCAAGTGCACGGAAGTCAAAAGCGATTTTGTCGAGGTTCAACGATTCAGAGCTCAATTTCGGCGGTCTCGGAGTGTTGGATTCGCCTGTACCCAACTGGTCTCTGAAATTGCTGCATCCGTGTTCTCGCCAAAATGTACTCTAGCGGTAGAGGCGCTAAGGCAGGCTGCTCTCATTTCCAGCTCTCCTGCGTGAAGTACTGCGGTACAAAGCGCCCCACGGCCATCATGTGTGATGGAAAGGGCCTAGGCCAAAGACTTTGCATGGAGTAACAAATGTCAAACCTGTCCTCCCCATGAGGATTGCTCAATGACCTTACCATGCCCCCGTCGAATCCTGAAAACGTATTCCTGAAAACTGCTTTGCTGCCTCGGCTTACGGCTGGAAACTCAGTGACTATAGCGCGATTCGTTCAAATACTTTCAACTCAGCCCTTGTTGCACCTTTGGGGAGCTTCCGAAAAAAGAAAACCGGATCACGTGAAGTGAATGCTCGAAATTTGTTTGCTTTTCCATTTAAACAACACGAAGATGTCAGCATGGCTTGAGGCCAAGGCCCCAGGATACCCAGAATCCTCGCCAGAAGGCTTTGAACTGAGTCGTTCTGAAACAGGACGAAGCCTGGCTCGCGCGCGTCTCACTCTGGGGACCGGATGAGAGGTGGCTATGTTTCACAAAAATGGGGACCCCCAAAATGAGGTGTGTTCTTTCCGGGTTCCCTTTACACCAGCCCCAATAAGCTACGCTCCAAAACACAAACCATACCAAACCCAAATATGTACACTTTGAAGCATTCAATCGAGCCACATCCCATACACATTGCTCCTTGCCTGACCACAGCTCCGCGATGATGCAGCCCAGTGACCTTAAGATGACCAACCATCAACGGAGGATATAACCGCATAGATGCTTGACAATGATCATACATGCCCCACGATGCTACCCAATCCTAGGCTTGACAGGCGCCCCAAAACCTAAGACAAAGTAGCCAGCATAACAACTCATGACGTACGGGTGCGCATCCTTCGCTACACAGAAGGCCACTACATGGTTGTGCCTCAACTGCCTGGAATGTCATACTGCAACGCCACTCGTATAAGTCTTGATTTTGTTGTTGAGGTGTCGGTGCAAGCCGTGAAGGCTCTTTGCTCAGCTTCTTGACACTTCCAACTTGACAAGGCCCGTCCTTGCAACTTGAACACAACGCGGACTATCAGCCTTAAAAAATCAGCTACTCATTTTCACAGTGAAGAACGCCTCCCTTGTCATAATATGCCTTGGATTGTGCCGAAGATACAAACACGCGAAAGACGACGACTCCTGGCGGCTGGGCCAAAGGTCGATCTTCTGGTCGTAGGGCAGACCCAGAATTACTTCCGGTGCCCTGGCAACCCAGTTTTGCAGGTCACACTGCCAGGTTCTGCCTGCAAGGGAACAGACGAAAACAGCCCAGGCCCTGTATGAGCCCGAAAGCGAAAAACACGCCGCACCAAGGCAAACCACTCGTGGACAGTTGGAGAGTCGGAACATGGAGCTGGATGTATTATAAAACAAAGCACTGCGGCACACATCATAATTTATGCTCGTCATTGCGGATAGGCCTGTAAGATCTGGACTGGACATAATTCGTGAGCTGGTCATCCACATAGCAGCTGGAGCCAAAGTCAATGACCTTCACCTTGGCAACGGAGCGGAAAAAGTGCAGGAATGCCGCATTGAGTATAACCTATGTACTATGGCCTTGAGGGCTATGGTCGTAGTTCCCTTACTTGGATCCTGCAGGTTGTCTACTGTTTCCACTAAAGCCCTGGCGAATCACTAGCTGCTGTTCCCATAGCAAGTATTCCAATTGCGCCCTGGAGGAAAAAGGCCATTCACCAACATGCTTCTGTAAGCAATGCCTAGCAACACTTCGAAATTTTGATGGGGCATAACTCGTGCGCTTGCTCGTAGCAAACTTATCCGACGCATTACGAGTATATACTCTCTCATGCCCGACTGGCTGCGAAACGTTCTGAGACCACACTGGGCCCACCCCCTTACTCTGCAGAGAGCAGCATATGCAAATATTCCTTTCTCATCCCCTCTTTTTGCGGAGGCACCTCACAGCGCGAGTAGCTTTTGATGAGCACATTCTCAGGCTTCAAGTCTGCATGTATGAGGTACAACTGGTGTATATACCTCAGCACACCAGGGCTGGAAGCGGAATGGTCTGTGTCAATGTTGTGTGCACCCGTGTGCACTTGTCCGGTAACGGACTTTTCACCGGGGCAACAACCTAGGCCTGGCTTGTTCGCATACACTATGTGCCACATGGGGCATAGCAAACAAGGCTACCGATGGGAGTAACATCGCACAGTGCGGCGCTACGCGTCTGCACTTTGTCGGCGTTGGTTTGCAGTTTGCCTCTGGAATGTCACCATCACAAGACTTGCCCATGTCGACACAGTCCAGTATAGGACACGATGTCTCATTTGCATCAGGAATAAACTGTTTGTCCTCAAGCAGTATTTTACACTAAGCGGTGTTTCGGTATCGAGCTACAGGTTGGGGATATTTCACAGTTCGTCACGCGCCAGCTGCCAGCCTTTTATGGGTCGGCTTATTGCGACTTTCGGACAATTGCATTTCAGAAACACGCAGGCTCGAACGAACTGCTTGGCTCTTTCGGCTTCTTTCCCAAGTGCACTCTTGCTGCTTGCTACATGGCTCAAATTTGGCAACCAAACCTTTGCCCACTTTGCGCGGGTCGACTCACTCCGCTTTGTAGCTCCACACGGCGTGAACTGTCTGTTCCGAGCGCAACGGCAGTGCCTCGAATGATTGCCACAGTTTGGCACAATCTTTCTTACTGCACTTGGACTAGATGCTTATCGTCCTTCGTTGGCAAAACATCTTCCTTGCAATTAATAACCCCGATTTATACTCAGAGTCTCTGCCCAAAGATCTTCAGGAGATACGAAAACAAAGGGGAGGCCTGCAGATCGAGGTCGCAGCCCTTCGGAGAAAAGATCGCCTGAAGCTGGGTTCGGACGGCTTGCAGTGCCAGGAAGAGTTGGAAACCTTGCAAGCAGAGTCCAGCGAGAGCCAGGTGTCACACTCTCCTCGCGAAGTCGGGGAGGGTTATAAAGTTTAATATGATAAAGAGCAGCCTAAGCTCAAAGAAGTGGCGAGTAAGCAGCAAGCGCATTCATTTTTGGGCGTACCAAAGCAAGCAGGCTCTTGTCAGCGCCTGGAAGAAAGCTCCCGGGCCGGCCAGGAGGAACGCTGCTAAGCGGAAACCACGCGCAAATGCAAAGAGCATTCGCCGCAATCTCTGACGAGGTGCGTGTCTACTTGCTGAAGTCTGACAGCTCAGGCTCGAGCGAGTGAAGTGAAAGAGTCGTGGCGGCTTTGAGCGCCAGCATGCTGCTGTTTGAGGTTTGCGCGCTGAACTTTCTGCGTAGAAATCCGCTGAGGATCCCCCAAGGGCGAGCCAGAGACAGGGAAACGCGGGCGGGCTGTTAGGATGCGCTTTGCTTGCCAAAGCGCGCAGCCTGGTCTGTCAAGCTGTCTGGGCAAGGGCGTCTTAGCTGCCTGGTGTTTGCGAGCCTCAGAGTATGGTCTCGGCATCAGAGTTTGGTGTGTCACAGCTGGCAGGAGCTTCAGAGTTTCGTCTGTCGCAGCCGTCTAGTTCAGGCCATTCGTGGCTAGTGACAACTGGGCGGTTCGGTTTCTCGGGTGAACTGCTTGCCAATATATTATAAACGAGAATTGCAGCGCCCAAAGCGCAAAGCAAGATTTCAGAGGCGTGCGAGTCACAAGCCATACCCTCGAAGCATACCCCGCGCCATACCTGCGATATATACCAACTTCCCGGCAAGGGCACGTTAAACAAATACATACCCATAAGCCAGGATGCTCCGGGTGGTGCCGTGTTTCTTGCATGTTTTGATCAGAAAATCAGGCCACAACGGGTCCGTCCCTAGGTCGACTACCGTCGCGACTGCCACGTCAGCCGAGACGCTCGAGAGCCACCAGGATCTGCTGAGAGATCCTCCCACACGAGTGCGCGTGCAGCTCATGGGGGGGACCCTGACTTGGGCGTGGCGGTTTTCAAAGCCGCAAGCAAAGCCGTAGAAAGCAAATGTCCACGTGGGTAGGAATTTAAATCGCGGAGCTTTTGGGTGGACAGCATGGTGGGGATGCATGTCCGCCACTTTTCAGGCGGTTCCCAAATAAGATTCAAACGTTCAGGTGTCGGTGGCTATGTCTCTAAAGTGTGTGATTGGGTCCCAGAAATTCAGTGGAAGCACACGTCCGTGGAAAGCTTGCTAAATCTACCACTTGGCGGGTGACTATCGGCCCAGTAAAGTGCCTTTCCAGACAGTGAGGCGCCTCTGAACCAAGACTTTCAACAGTCATCCCAATTCCATCTGCTAACGAACATGAGCAAGCCATAAGCACAACGTCAGGGCACGACTCTTTGTCACAATGTGCTTTCAAGCTGTTCCCTCCTCTGCAGCCGGCCCAAGGTGAAGTAGGGCTCTTCGCCGCCCTGGCAGTAGCTATTGTGGTGGAATCGGCGCCATGTGTACGAACTACTTACTCCCCTGAGAATTGACAAACAAGGCCAAGGGGTCCACTGAAATGAGGGTCCTCTAGAAGTGAGCCGCGCACTCAATGATTTCCGGGAGAGTCCCTGGTTGCCAACTTGCACAGCGCCCCTGCAAATAAGTACACTCTGAGGGTCCAAGCTGTTTGCAAATGGGACAGGCCGCTAAACATGCACAGGCAGCAAGTGTTCGAATACCGCTAATACAGGTGGTAGTCCGGACCACCAACACCTCATGTTCATCAGCTAAGCATGCCTTGACTGAAACCCTCAGGGCGTATGAAAATGAGTAAGCTCATGACACCATGCTGTTTGAGTATTCCTTACACCACCCTGCTTTGGGAACACACATGCAATAAGGTCTGCAGGCCGCCTGCCGATTGTACTTGGAGAACTCGTAGAGGTTGTCTCGTAAGAGCTCCTTGGAGAGCGTGCAGCGGCCACTGGTATCCACTTTGAACACACCTGACAAATCAGCTTCCATTGGTGGATTAGTCTACGCAGCTCGAACCCGAACCTCCTTCAGTGATAGCTTGCTGTATGGAATCCATCTGAGAGCCCCGGCCGTGACAATGATGAGATGCTCTTTGTGGTAGAAATAGTCCTCAGTTGGCTTTCTTTCACAGTTCCAAGTGGCATGCCCTCCCTCGACTTCAACTCAACTTGTAGCCAGCCACGGCCCGACTTCAATCGTGCTGTGGCTGGTTGATCTATTGGTCTATCCATGTCTACCGCCAGCCAACCATCGCCTGATGTGCAAGGTCGGTCCACTCCAGAATAAGCTCTGCACGCATCAAGAGAGTGGCAAGCACGAGCTATGTAGATTGACAAAAGTTGGCTGCACTTTGGCATTGCCTTCGGAATGTGCAACTCTTCTCGTATTGCAGCCGAGAAGCAACCAGAGCCAAACAGTTCTTGTCGTCAACGTTGTCCTGAGCCCACGGACGCCAGGCGAGCAAGACAAAATGTTCTCAAAACCTCACCATTCAGCATAATCCACTTTCCATTAAACGTGAACCTTCAGGGACATTCATTCAGATAGTGGATGGAAGCGTGCAGCGTAGGTGGTTCAAGGCAACAATTACAGCAGTACCGGCCAACTGTAAGAGATAAGACAGGTGAGGCAGAACACGCTGGGGCCGCGGACGCAGTTGGACTTGATCAGCCTCAGCAGTTTGATCTCATCCAGGGACTGGTCAAGGAAGTCCTTGTTATTGTTGATGATCTTCATGCAAACCATCCTGCTCAAGAGTACAGGACGGGGCTTCATGCACACAAACACACTCACATGGGCCGGCGTGCAAAGGAAGTCTCTCCAGGCCATGCCAAGCTAGATTGCCAAAAAGAGCCATTCAGAGGCACTTAATTCAGAAGGAGCCTGCGTGTGAGTCTCTAGCTGCATCTACAACTTGCTGGCTTGCCACTTGATTCGCGTGACATATCCGAGATCGGCAAGCGGAGAATGAATGCCACCACTTGCCGACTTGTCGAGTGTCAGCTTCCCAAGCGGCTCTCAAAGGCACATTGTTGAGGTGTGCGCTGTCAAACTGGATAGCATACAACCTGCTTTGGCCACAGCGCATGATTCATTCTGTTCATCAAGTCTCTCCGCAAAATCATGTGTCACCTCCGGACAGTTGAAGACTGCATGGCTGCCGAATAAACGAACAGAGATTGCAATCGCCAGACCCTGTGAGGGTATGTGACCAGCGAAGGGCCCCACTTCAGCTGACTCAGTCGCTTCGCCTGTTGGTCTCAAGGTCCAGGCACTGGACAGCTCGGGAAAAGGCCGCCGAGCCCAGATACTCCAGCACCTGAAGAGCAAAACAGAAGCCCACATGCCGAGATGCGGAACCTAACCAAAACGCTCGTGCCTTCAGTATCAGAGATGATGCATGACCATCCCGAAGAAACAAAACATGATCATGATATAATCAGCGCTACTTAAGCTGGTCAAATGCACCAGAGCCAACTTGTACTGATCATGCAAGCAGGCAGGGACCGTAGTGGGTTTGGTAATCCCTGGATCAGCTGGCCCAACCTTCATGTCTGTTTCATTCAATATATGAATGATTCAAATACTTGCCAATGTTGCGTCTCTGATGAACTCAACAATTCCCGCCCAGTCAGCATAAGCAACCACATGTTGAAGCAAATTCGTGTCGCAGCATTCCAGTGATGCAGGGTGACCGCTGGCTGGCAGTGCCTCCAGGCAAAGAGGAACCACGAACACGCAAAGGTGGCAACTCGCAGCCCAATCCATATATCGACTGCTTTTGCGCTCGCTCTTGCAGCCAGCCTGGTACCGGCCCGCAACGATACCTCGGAAAACGCAGCATGGCTCTAAGCCTATCGAATATCTGCTGTTCGGAAATCCTTCAAGGACCCTCAGCTTTCGCGGTGCTTTCCCAGAAATCCCGGCACCCGTTCAGACTCTGCTTGCCTCAATTACTGGGTCTGTACCTCGGCCTTGGAGTGATCCTTCGCAAACTGTCGCGGTGGGTTTCCCTTCTAAAGAATGCGGGGTTTGCAAAAACAAGCAGTAGCCCTTTCGCGGAGCTTTCGCTGACTGAGTTTTCGCAAAACACTTTGTTGAGCTTTCGCGATGAAGGCAAGAAACTGGTGGTATCAACAGCATGGGGCTTTTGGGCATCAACTGAGTGATTGGTTGGGCCCGTGGCTTTGTGCACTCCGAGTTAAACAAATACAAGTCTGTCTGCATGCGCGTTGGCTAGCAACCTTGCCTTACGTGGCAGTGCCGTGGCAACATCAAAGGAGGTCACGAGAGAATCCGCAAAATGGATCCCACACCAGAATGCCTACAAACACACAGTACTGGATTGGGAGCCAACATCCGCCACAGGCGATCCAACGGTCCTTTCAATTCCAGTCCCATGTTCATTGGAATCCTGTCAGGCTTACGCGCAGCTTGGCGGCTGTTCAGGCGGATGGGGAAGTCCTTGGTCTCTTCAAAGCCCGTACGGTCGCGCTCGTGCACGATCCTGGGGATGGTCCCATGTCGGATGCAAGTTGGGGACTCTGCAAGGCTGATATTGGTTGGATTGAGACTTGCAACCAAGCCTGGGAGAGACATACAACAATGCCGATATTGCATATCGCATTCTGACACAAGTCCAATCACAACTCATGCACAATATGAATACGTCGTCGTGTCGTGGTCCCAAGCAATGTGACGCTGCCCACAAACTAGTGGCAAGATTTGCTTTGCGCACACTAGAAGCAACATCACTCAACTCCAAGCTCCAACAACAACTTGACCGGCTCGCAGCACGTCTCGTGCACATCTACGTCAACTACAAATGCACTTCTCCACCCATCCTCATCATGTCGTCCAATAAGCTGAAATAAGTTGAAACTCATGTAAACCCAAAGCATCATGCCACAGAATTGGAAGGCAACAGCCGGAGTCTCGTCGTTGGCGAAGGTTCGTTTGCCAGGGCGCCGAAGGTTGAAGGAGTCGAAAACGATGCCCTGCAGCTCCACTGGGTAGAAGGAGTCCCCAGATTCGGGGTAGCCTCACCGAACTTCAGCCGTGTGCAGTGCGAACAAATTGCCCCGCAAAGGCACTGGCTTGGTGTCTGTCAAGCGGAGCCTTGGGTTGTCTGCATATTGATACATTGTGGTATCTTCTGGCATATTGTGGTATACCGTGATGTATTGTGTATGTATGTGATATGTGGTGATGTTCCAGGTATTTCCAAAAACCCAGCAGTCAATGGTGATCGGTTCATTTCCAGCTCGCCTACCTGCTGAGACGTTGAAATAGGCACTTTAGGTAAATTAAGCGCTCAGCATCATCCAGATAGCTGTCTAATGCGTTTGGAAGTGCTCGACCAGTGCCACTTGAATTTCAACAAATGTGTCAGCTCTTGTTTTGACCAAATTGGATTGTCGTGCCGAAAACCAACATCAAGCTTCAACAGGAGATTGAGTACAGAGCTGCAGAAACACCAATCACAGCAACAAGAGCCAGAACAGCAACACCCATAGCACTGACAAAGCAGTAGGCAGCAGCACGAACTCAAACAACTCGGGCGCGCCCGACATGTTCTAACCGGATCTAAAACATTGTGTCCTGGAACAGCTGCGCACACACGTTCAGGTCTCTTCAAGGCACAAGCTTGGTGTGAACAGCATGAGTGAACCCACAACAGGGGTGAAAGGACAACATGAGTGAAACGCCAACATGCGGCAATGTGTTCAACAAAGTACCAGGCTCATCCAGAGCGGTCCATATTCTATCGTGCATCTGCCTGACGAATCCACAAACTATTTCTCCAGGTAGCGCGGGGCCGGTCGGCCGGTGCGCTCCTTCTTGCCGCAGGAGAGTGCCTCTCGTGTGCACACAAGTTGAAGCCAAACATGTTCCTGGAAGCCACAATGTTACATCCAAAGATGCCAGTGGACACATATGTGACAAGAGGGCACCAATACACAACATGCCAAGGATCACGCAGTGACTTGCTATGGTACTCCCCCGGGTCACTGAAAAGCAACCGGCAAAACGTGCGGCTCGTTTGGGCCATTGGGCCAGGCCAGGCCTTCCACTTCAACCCCCGACTCCGGCGTTTCAGACTGAAGCAACTGCAGGACTGCGAAATCAGTTGCAGCGTGATCCAAACAGAAACAGCCGTAACTCCACTTGCTGGGTCGCAAACCCGCTTGCAGGTCAAATCAAAAGCAAGAGAACTCTTGAAACCTTAACAAGTGTGTTCCTGGGTCCCTGGCATGCAAAGTGTCGACACATCTTCAGAGCTGAGGTGGATATGGAACTATTAGGAGCAACATGTGGCTTGGCATCCAATGAACTTAATGGCTGGCGCCTTAAGATCCCCGCTACCAGCAGCTCTGACCCTCCAGTGGGCTCATGTGGTGAAAGAGTCCCGCAGTCTTACCGTCGTTCCTTACGCATTGTCTCTGGCCACTCTAGGCTGGCCCTCTCAGGGGCTTCTTTTCTTGTCCAAATCTTTGAACTTACTGAATGATTGCCTTGCAGATTGCTACCACGTGTCGCTGAAACTGCAATGTGATGCAACTCTGAAGCTTAACCCGACTTTGGCAGCGAGAAAGGCGCCTTGGGCGCTGCATCGTCCAACGCAGCATTGTAAGCGTAGGGAGGCATTCCTGACAAAGGAGGCTTGGTTCCCATCACCCGCTCAACTGCCTTGAATCAACCAATTTAGTTAACACAAATTGCGAAGCAAAGCGACTTCTGTGTCCGACACATCGTTGGCCAAGAAAGCAGTCTGGATACAGGATGCAGTGCATTCCGGACAATTTCCCGCTTTAATGCCAGCCACGTGAGTTATTTTTGCGGATGACACCAAGCAGTGCTCGATGTTCCAGGGGGCCTCCCAGGTGGCAGGACATGGTTGACCAACCCTTTGGCCGAGGGTGGTGCACCGGGGCCAGGCTTGAAGAAAAACGCCAGGACTCGTGGGACTCTGCGCAACTGTGCAGTGGGTTGATGCGTATGATGTGTTTGGTGTTCATCGCATGCAAAAAAATATCTAGACATCTATATAATTCTATATATATATATATATATTATATCTAGACGTAGGGTGCTCAAGTGGCTGGGAGGCAAGACATCGCTCCCGACAGGCCGAGACTGTGGCCCTTGATTAACTCAATCTTGCTTCCAAAACATGAAGACAATCCTTTCACTGCAATTTGGGCATGAAGGCTGAGAATTTGCAGTAGTTGCATTCGGAGTTGCACTAGTATATTCAAGACCTGTCAATTCCAATTATGACAGCTCAATCGCCAACCCCAGCAGATTGCTTGCCCCTGAAACTCCAAATAACTTCCACCCAGCACCTAATTTTGACTTGGAAGAAATGCCAGAAATAGCCACACAGACACAACCCCCGCCTGGAGAAACCCACATAGAAGAGCATACACAACACTAACATCTCACCCACAACACAAAGTGATAGCAAGCACAAAGCCCCACACAAAAGATCCGCTGTTGCGCGCTCCTGTCACTTCTGACCCCCCCCCCCCGCCTGACGCTTGCGCTTCGGGAGGCGGCGCCTGCGCAGCCTGCGCAGCCTGCGAAAGCGGCAAGGCACAAGGGGGTGACCGTGGCAAATGACATGTTCCACATGAAGGCCGGGTTAGAGCCACACCACTCCCACATCATGGCATTGTGCAATCCGGTGAAAGATGAGTGTCGTTTTTCTGTTTGTTCTGCGTAGCAGGGGCATACTGTCGCTTAGTTGAGCCAAGCCAATCCTCTTGGACCGAAGCGGCCAATTCCTTGAGGGCTCAATGCAATCCAAGGTGGCAAGCTCCAGCGATGCACGTGCTGCACTTTAAAGCAGATTTCACACTCTCGACAAAGTCAGCGAAATGTGCCAAACCTGCCGGGCTTCTGGTGCTAAGGTTCGAAGTTGTATAAAACCTCTGAAACCAGACAGTGCTTCAGGAAAAAGAAGAAGAAGAAACAAAACAGCATGTATGGTGTTCCTTTTTCCTCAGGTGACTTCACTGTGGCTTCCCTCCCGGTTTCCGGACAGAAAACGGGTACCAACTCCCAGGCTTCGGTTTGGGTTGCACCCGTTGCACTGATTTCCCGTCCTGGGCCCCAAAGGTGGGCACCACAGCGGGCGCCTGGCAAGGCAAGCGCTCCAAATGAAAAAAAAAAAAAAAACAACGCGCGGCCCCAAAGCGTTTTGCCGTTCCCGGCGGTTTTCCTTAACACCCCAAAATAGTGAGTTATTCTTGAAAAAGTTTGCTTGAAACCCAACCAATTGTGGATTTGTCAATCATCGTTTTTCTTCACCAATATCTAGCGATCCCCTCAAAACACACACTCAAATGGAGAGGCGCCGTCAATTGTGGATGATACTTCAAGTGAAACCGACGGGAGACTGACCAGTTGTGCAGAATTCTCTATTTGGGTGTGGCTCAAAAATTGGGGCCCAAAACAGCAATGGTGCAAGCAAACTTTCGAAAATCAATACCCCAAACAAAATGCTAGTGCTCGCCCTTTCTCTCTCTCTCTCTCTCTCTCTTTCTCTTTCTTTTCTCTCTCTCTCTCTCTCTTTCTCTTTCTCTCTCTCTCTCTCTCGCAAATCTGCTTTGCCTCTGCTGCTTCGCTATGAGCAGATACTCCATGCCTCACATAACACGCAGGACTTAAGCCCTTCATTGCAGCGGCCTCTGCCGGAAAACATTGTCACGGCGCGGTCAACACATGAGTTGCGAGTTTAAGCATGGACACTACTTTGCACCGGAGTCTGCAAATATCAACAAACGGTCACTGTGCCACGCAATGGAAGTTCCCAATCCAGTTCATTGTTTCATTCATAAGCAAGGATGAAGGGAAGGGCTACCAACAAGCATATGATTGCAGTATTATTGTAGTCATCATTTTCAGGGCAAAGGGTAAACAGGCAATGCCAGGCACAAACACGGTGTGGCTGCAGGAGATCTATCTGACCAGCAAGATGAGGCTGGTTCATGCCACGGGTGGATGCATCATTCGGTCCAAGCACTGCACTGCGTCAAAATTAGAGCCCACCACAATGCTCTACGTCAACATGTTGGTGTCCATCCCATAACGATTGCTCAATCAAACCAGTGTGCCCCAGTCCAAAACATTTTACTTCGCACACATGGCTTGTCCTCCTTTCCGTTGCCAATGACACAAATTGAAATTGCTGGAAGCATCCGGCAGCCCGGACCATGAGTGTCATGGGTCATTGCTTGGTGTATTTAACACAGCTCTGAAGGCAGTTTGAGACAATTACCCCAGGACGCGTCCGAGATTGGAAACCCTGGAGGCTTACCAAATCTTCCACAGGAGGTGCACATAACCCTCTTGAATAATTCGTCGCGTGAGAGGGCGAGTCTTCTCATGACCAGTCAGCAAAAGTTAGCTTTGGCGGATGAGTCCATGAATGGGGCTCGGAATCAGCCAGCTAAATACCCAAAATCCAACTTTGCATCTGTGGGTTCTCACTAGTTGCGGGTCAAAAAAGGGGGACCCACAAGTGGGCGGGTTGTCCTTTTTGGAAACCTGACAGCCTTCCACTCGCCCCTGTTCCGTCTGAGGGGCATGATGGCATCCGCCAGAGTGTGCTCTCCGGCGGCAATCCTTAGTGGCTGCAAACAAGGACTTGATATCGGAATGTGGGTGTGGGTCAAAATTAAACCACTAGGGGACCGCAGGCTTTAGTCCATGTTTCCCATTTATCAAGGTTCCATTTTGGGTATCGATTTTGACCCACATCCATGTCTCCAATATGAGATCCGCAAAATGGCTGAGGTCCTCTTGGTTTCCCTCTGAACCAGCTTCAAGGGGGTTCCCCTCAAAAGTAAGCACGAATGTCTTGCCGGCTCAGTACAAATATTGCCTTCAGACTGTTCAAGCAGCAACCAAACTGCACACAGGCAGTGAAACTGTGCCCCACGGGCAACATGGAAATCAACTCCAAGACAGCACAGGCCAGCGCTCCTTGAACCCAAACCAGAAGTCCGTTTAGTGACTTCTTGTGCAACAACTATGGCAACAACTGGCACAAATCAACCAAGTGGATTTCAACCTCCTTATGACATCCTTGCGCCGTCTGGGCACCCCAGCGAGCTGCTCTGGCTGACTTGCGCTTCCATACCTGGCAACACATGGTACTTCCGAAATGGGCATGTTCACTTTGGGCACCCTTTGGTGGACATCATTTAGCTGGAGATGTGTGTCCGATTTTCCAGTAAGCCACGTGCCAAAAGGTCCAAGTGCCTCCCAATAATTTGGACCCTGACAAAATATGTTTGATCATGGAACCACCACGCGTGGAAGGTTGTGAAGACCTCGTGAGCTCAAGGCACAATATTGAGTAAGTGACACGACACAATGAGCAGGGCCGCGCGTACAGCACTGCAATTGAAAGTGAGCCATGCCCCCAAAGCCAACGGGTCGAACAAACTTATGCCACGAGCCATGATCCCAATTGAAGCTTCAAGTTCGAGTTCAATGCTCAAGTCATGCAAGTCTGGGTGTTTGCGTCTTAGTGCTGCCCAGGGTGAATTCTAGCAAAGCTATCTTCTGGATTCTTTTGGACTGTAGGAGAACATGATTGTTGGACAACCTTTGCATGGCAGCCCTAAAACTGAATAAAACCTTTTCATGGCCCACAAGGGTAGCTAGTTTTCACGCCCACGAATCATCTGACCTCAAGCTGGCGACGCCTCCGCTAGGCTCATCGGCTCCCTCCGTCTTTGGGGCGCCTGAAGCGGCGTAACGCGTGGACTTTGTGGCCATTGTGTGAGTGGGGTATCCTGATGATACTTGGCTTGATGCTTCATAAGTGTGGCAGTCTGGTAATGTGGTACGTGTTTGACAAGGGCGTTGGTAGCTGGCCTGCTGCAATGTGGCATGCAAGCAAACGAGACAGCCAGTTTGGTGTGGTTTTTTGCCACCCCTTTCAAAGGACTGGGTCCACTCAAAGCAGAACTCAGTATCAAAGGCATGCGTCTATGAGCCCCTGGCATCTCACACCTCAGCTATTGACTCTGCGACGACATACAAAACATGATCTCCTTGCGAAGCAAACGCCTCGCAAACATATCTGGAAAAAAAAAACAAAACAATGTGTCGGCCAAGCCAACTCAAAACCACCCAAACACAAGTTGCCAACGCACCAGAACACATTCAGCAATTCGGCAGTGCCTCTTCAGAGCTGCACCTCTAGAATGAGAGAGCGCGTGTATACTTTGGTGCCCTGCTCTTCACAAGCTGCGAAGTGGGCGGCGCTCTGTGAGGAGAAACTCATGGCAATAAATGATGTTGGACACTGATCAGGGTTGACGTCGTTTACAAGCCGTCCACATATTTTGCGAGACGCGGTCCGGACAACTCGTACATTGTTTGCGACTATTGCGTTTGCTCAGGCACGCTTGGCGTGGGGAGTTGTCAACTGGACTGAACTGTGAGATCGTTGTTCTAGACTGATGTGGCCAAATTCGCTGCGAGTGGTTTTGTAGACAATATCGGGGGGATTGGATAGCTTGAGCAAACAAACACATCGTCTCCCCCACACCGCTCGAAGCACACACATAAGAGGAAGAAGGCACACATATGAAAATGCGGTATTGTTCACATGTCTTTCTGACTCTAAAGCCGGCAGGAAATCCAGTTGACTGGCTAGGCCTTCAGAGGTTTTAGGGCTCATGACCGCTTCCCTTCTTCAGAGATAGATGCACTCGGAAGTGTTTGCACGTATGGCCCTTCCCTGTCACATCACAACTGAGCAACTGGCGAGAATCACTGCAAACAGTCTCGCACCAGCTGCGTCACAAATGGAGCCACAGATGGAACCCAAACCATGCTTTGTAAAACCGTGGCACATTGCGTCAAAGATTACATGTCATGTCACGTGAGATATTTAGCATCCCTGCTCTCCAAAGTTCAAAGCAAACAAAAGGTCGAAACACCCCAGCTTTTGCATGATGTGCTCTTTGTCATTTCAGGAGGGGTCTCGAGACCTCAAACTCGATTGGCGTGCCCTCGCGCTCGGCCTAGCAGCTCATCAGGAGCTGTCTCTGGGCACGCCTGGCATAGGCGGTCCAGCTGCGGTGTTTGTCGCATCCATGGGAGTTGGAGGCTTTAAGGTACCCCCATTTCAAGCGTTTGCAAGGGGAACCAACAAGAAAACCACCACTGCATCTTGACATGCTTGCAGTTTTGCAGAATCCACCCGGCTGTGTTTTGCCACATTCCGGGCTTATAGCAAGCAGACTGCAGCGCCCGAATCCAGAACTTGCATGCCCAGCCTATGCTCAAGAAAGTCACTGATACCAATGGACAGCGACACCTACAGCCATAACAGCTTGGTCAGCCTTTTCTTTGGATGAGTGAGCCCTCGTGTGAACAACTATGCCAGGCTTGTGGCATTTGTACGAACAATGACCTGGAATGCTTCGGCCTCCATCTTTGGATATCGACCTTAAGTCACCAGGGAAGTATCAGGGAAGTATCAGGGACCTTGCGAAGCCAGGAAATGGTGACATGTCATTCGGCAGTGCAGCTCCAAGACTGCGAGCACCGACACAGTAAACCGCAGCCATTCTGATCGCAACATTTCCCTCCCAGTCCTTGGGCATAAGGTTGGCGGCCCATTGCAGGAGTTCCGGCGCAGCGGCAAGCGCGCGCTCGTACTTGTCCTGAATCTCCTTCAGCAACAATTAGTATGCAGCAAGCAGGAAGCCACCATATATGTTGGTTTAAGCAGGGGATTGAACAAAACTACTTGCAACGTCCCATCCGTTCTTTGTTGCAGCCAGACAAGAAGGAATACCAATCATACTTTGCCCCGCAAAGGAAATAATGGAACAAAATATGCAAAAACAAATCATGTAACGGAACAAAGAGATAGTGAAATAAAACTCAAAGCACACATAAGTAGTCGACCAACTATGCAACGGACGTTTCGTTCGTGTATCCGTGTCAAATGCCACCTCTTGTCCCCTCCCCCCCCCCCACCGGAGGCAAACAAATCACAACCAACAACAGCTTACCTCTTGCAGGCTCAATGGACAACTCGCATTCAAACGATCTTTCAACGACCAGCCATGCTAAACTCCAACTGCCGCCGTGCCGCAAGCATCAATTCTTGCTCCGTGCACTCCCGGATGCGGTACCCGGGATCTAGGTCCTCAGAAAAACCATAAGACAAACGTCCATCCCTGATCTGAAGAGAATTAACAACATGACCTACCCTTAATTTTCCACTGGCTGCTTCTTCAGGTATTCTTTGCAATGCGCTTTGCCAGTAACCTTGTAGACTCCAGTGCTACGAATTCCAGTCACATGGCCGGGGGTATCTTCACCGGACTGTCGAAGCTGTCTTAGATGCAGCCAGCAGAGCTCTCTTTGAGTAAAAGGCGACTCTACCTGCACCTGATCCGAGGTAGCAACTGGCCTGCGCATGTAGGGCCAGACCGGCCACACAATGGCATGTCATAATGACATCTCCTCAGTCACCATTCAATCTAAATGTCAAACCCTGATTGGCTTCATATCATGTACATACTACAAACGCACATTGACACGTGACGAATTATAATTAGGCATATCATCGCTTCTCCATTGCTTCGGCTTCTGCCCTCCACACTTGCCATTTGGCATCCGAGCGTCATCCCGGTACTCCTCTGGGATATCAGGGTCATAGTTGATGTCCTTGGCGCTGCAAGGGATAAACACTGCAACCAAAAACAATCAGCACAATGTACAGTACGCACGCTGTAACATATGAGCAAGCTCCAACTGAGACGGAGGGAGCTGCAACGGGCTTCGACAAAGCCCTTGCACTGCGTGTCTAAAAACAGTCTGGGTTTGCACGCTATCAGCTCGACCCAAAGTAGGTCTATGATGATGAGTCAAACAATGGACCCATTCAAAATCGTAAAGTCATACTAAAGTCAACATTAACAACTGCCATCAAATCTGACATACTATGAAAACATCACCACGTATATTGAGCAACGTTGCAACCGTAATGAGGAAGTCGCACAACGCAACAACCATTCATTGATGAAAGGTGGCCCATGAACCTGCCAAGCACTGTAATTATCGTATATAGCCACCCTCAGTGCCATCAACATTCAGACCCTAAGCACTAAATCAAATCGGCCAATCCTGTCGGGCGATGCAGGCCATGGTAGTCAAACCAACAGGGCGTGACAAGGAGCCCATTGACTGTCACAACTCCCCATATGGGTATGTCTTGTTTTGAGGGTACCCCCTTTGGCGTGGTTTAAAAAAGAGACCACGAGGCCCCTATCAGGGAACCCAAGAAAGCCGATAAATGAGGAATCTACTCAGTCACGTTCAGTCACTAGAGCTCTCAGTGGGAATCGCTAGCTGACCCCGGGCCGCTTTAGTTGCCGCCATGCAGCTGAGCCCTGCCGCGACACCTGAGCTCGATTGATACTTCGTTTTGGGAACGCTTCGCCGACGATGCCACAAGGAGTGCTCTGATTGATTCAACCCTTCAACTGGGGCTGTCTGTTTTGAGGGTACTCTTTTCATTTGGGGCTGCCCTGTTTTAAGATATACCTAACTTACTTAACTTAAGAACCTGGAAGATGAGACATGGATCAACACGTTGTCTTGCTTGGCCGTCCCGTGCTGTTGGATACTGTTGTTTGTTGCGTTTCAGCCTGTGAATCAAAACAGCCTGGTCATCGAACACTCGATACCCACCTGTCAATATGACTTTTACACATCCAGTTGCTGTTGGTCTCGGGCTCTTCAGTTCTTGCATTTCAGGTTCAACGCTGGGCCACTTCTGTCTGCCGGCATGGGAGCCCACTCTGACAGCGTGTATCACAAACAAAACAAACATGATACATCTGCAGGGTCCGGAAGAAGCGCCTAAGTGCCCCTAGCTGAACAACAGAAGCATCGCTTGAGAACAATTTTGTCAACAAAGTACACCGATGCAGTGCAACACATGCGTTGGAACGCCGAGACTTGTTGACATCTTGTATGGATGTCACACCCATCATCAACAATGCCTCTGGAAGCACTCAAATGTTGCCAGCCTTTGAAGACAACAACGCCGAGCTACGTGAGATGCATTCAACCGTCGAGTGACAGGAGATGTGCTGCGAACTTGCCAAGATCTCTTGATGCTCAGGCCATGAGATTGCTTTGTAAGATAATAACAAGCCACCAACCTGCCCAGCGCGCTTGCCTTGCCTCGGCCGGCCGGATCTGGATCCAGTCTACTACCAACCCAGAAGATTTAAACTTAGATTTGTATCCCCTTGCTTTTGTATTTGTCACAGCCAACAATCTAGTTGTGACCTCCCAACCAGCCGACCCTTGGGCCCCTGGGTCAGGGCGCGTAGTGCGCCGAGGGCGTGGGCGCCATTGGCGCGGGCGCCGGGGTGGCAGGGGCCTCGGGCGTGGTTTCCCCGCCCGACGTGGTCGAGGCGGAGCTGCCGCGGATGCTGGTGGCCTCAAGCGACCGGGTTGACCCGTGGAAAGGAAAACCTGATCGAGGAAGCTACCAGTGGCTTATCCATGTTCGAACTGGTGATTAAAGGTTGACACTTCTTCAAGCTGGTTGGTTTAGACCTGTGCGAGAGGTGAGGGGCAAAGGCTGAGGCGTGGAAAATGGCTGTCCTACGACCTGACCCGAGATGGTGGCCCAGTTTGGGCCACTGCCCTGTCGGAAGTCCAGCCCTGGAGGCCGGAGGCCCATGTCATCTCCCCGTGAAAGTGAACCTTCGCCAGTTGGCCTCGAGTCTGTGATAGGCTTCGGTCTCATGAAACAGTGCTGGAAGATCCTGCCTGCATCGTCTGCAGTTGCTTCCTATTGGCCTCCCTTTTGTGGCTTGATTCGAATTGCATTTGTACTTTCTCCAATGGTTGGATGCCGTCACATCTTGGTACTGCTTGCTAATGCTCTCCTTGTGTGGCACCCGACGGCTTGCAATTGCTTGCACCATGAATTCATATGAAAGTTGTGGAAAACGCGTCGCCGGAGGGCCCGAGTCCACCTCAAAGGTTTCTCCAGCTGCTCGCCGGGTTGCGCCTGCCCCTGTTGGGCGGCGTCAGTCATTTCTGCAAGGCCACAGTGAAACTGTGGAAGGGGGCATACACTTGAGACTGGAGCGTGGAAGAATCTGCCTGATGTTTCAGGGCGGCCATGCAGGTGCTATCTTCTGCCCACACAGGGGGATGGTTGTTTTCCAACGGCGAACGTAGGCAACACTGTATATATATATATAATATTACACCTGCTGTTTGCAGGGAACCCAGTGACCGAATCCTCATGTTTGGGGCCTGCCATTCCCATTCAGCCATGGCACTAGTCTCTGAGACATCGCCTGCTGGAGCTTTCCCTCCTGCTCGAGCGCCTGGCAATAAGCTTTTGGCTGGGGGTAAGGGCGCGCCAATCCGACGGCAAGGTCTCGTTGCCCCTCCTTCATGTTGGGCATGCCCTGCAATTGCAGAACTGCCATTGCTACAATATGTGTTGGGTCGTATCTCGATCTGCTGTGCTACCGTCGTTCTTCTCTTGCTTCATATCTTCTCTACCAGAGAGTCATGTTGGGTCAGAATAACTTGAAAGGTACAAGAAAGGATAAAGTTATACCGACAAACATGAAATGACCATGATAATAAAACAACCACCAATCACATCACATCCCAGCCGGACAGGCGTACAGGCCTTCCGGGGACAAGGACCTGGCGTATCTGGCGAAGGGGAACCACAGGAAGTTCATGGCACGTGACAAATGGATACAAAAGGAAGATACGGCCCGAACAATGGTTGGTTTCCCTTTGGTTTCCTTTTAAACAAACCCCAAAAAGGGTACCATCCAAAAAGGACAGACCCATCCAAGCCCCCGGTGCCTGGTCCGCAAACCGCCGCAGCAAGTGCTCCGTCCATGACTTGCCTACCTCCTGGGCACAGGCACTGACTAGTTTTGCCCCATCCGACGAGCGGGAGTGTCAAATGGGGGAAGCAGCTCCCAGATTTACAGGACAATGTATAATCACATATATATATATATATAATTCAATATCATACATATGCAATGACATGCGCTGTTACCCAAAGCTGGTGGACCCAAGTGCAAAATCCAACCCGCAAGACAACTCTCTTGCTCTGGCGAGGGTTTAGGAGACTGCATACATGTCAGTAACACGCGAGATCACATCGTTTGCATCTGCATATCTGCCTCTGCACGCCAAGGATGCATGCTGAACTTTGAAGGGCAACCAGCCGCGGCAAAATCCCTTGCAAGAAATGCTGAAGGTGCCCCCAGCGACAAGTGACAAATCAGCGCTTCCCCTCGTCCCGTAGACCGTACTTCAGAAAGCAAACTTGTGGAGTTGAGGGCATGACTTTCAACATGCAGCCTTCTTTTAAAGCAGCTTGAGACAGGAGGAGCGAACACCGCATGTGTGTGTGCACAAACCGGGTCAGATTCGGGGACTTCAACAAAGGATAGATATACAACATACTTTACTTGACAGGCTGTGCAACTGCAAAGAGGACCAGATTAGCTTTTCATCAAAGCACACATGCCCTCCGGGTGGATATATCCCAAATCCAGAAATTTGAGGGATGTCATCTACATGCCTCGGCCCTTGAAGGACACACCTGGAACCGGCTCCCATATGTTTGAGCGGAAAAGGACACATTCTAGTGCAAAATACTGCAACTAAATAAAGCACTTTGTCGCTGACTGAGCATTAAGTCGGACTTGGTGGCCATGTGACACATCGATGTCGCGGCCGCAGGCCTGAATCTGTGCGCCTGTGGCACCTGCCCTGCCCACCCTTATGTTAGACAAACAACGTTCCAAAACAGACAGTTGTTGTGGGGAATGCTGGTGACCAAAAAACCAGATCTAAGGGACATTCTATGAGGACATTCCAAACACCTGGAAACCCGAACCATTCGTCTTCCCTTTCACAGCTGTGTCTCAAACACAAGAAACTCCTCCCCCAACATGGCTCCGGTTCGCTTTAGCTTTCCTTTGAACCCACCCAAGATGGCCCAAAATGGCACCCTCCATCCCCCGGTCACATCCAACATGGCCACCAAAATGGCGCCCTCCATCCCCCCCCCCCGTCCCCACCACCCCCGTCCCTATGGCGCCAGGCCACCGGCTCCCCGAAGCTCGAGAGCTTGGAGCCCAGCTCCTGCACCGCCGCGGCGTCCAGGAACGCCCCTGAGACGTCCAGGAACGCCGCTGGGCTCGTCTTTAAGGTGGGACGCCCAACATGGCTTCGGCTTTCTTGGTTCCCCGTTTTTCTTGGTGGCTTCCCTTTTAAACTGAAAAAAAGGAAAAGGTACCTCAAAGAAAGCCTCCCACTCATATCCATGTGGGTGGTCTGGTCTTTTCTGGAGAGTACACTTTTTTTGGGTTGGTTTGAAGGGAAACCAAGAGGGAGTTGCTAATCTTGCCCTATTTTGAGACATAGTAATACTCATTCTCAATTTTGTTAGCTCACCCATTTTGAAGATGGTTCGGCCAGTTTCACTACAATGTGGTTCACCAATTGTCTTAGTTTGTGCTCCTTTGCCAAGGTTTCATTTGGTTCAAGAACTACTTACGCACATATGTTGGTTCACTGATGTTCCTTGGATACCAGCCAACCAAAGGTCCATCATCTTACATATGTTCATAATTTGCTTGGTACGAATTTCCAAACCCCACACGTGAAATGAGTTGTTGCCCCGTTGAAAAATACCATCTGGGCGTCAAGACGTTGCCAAACGTCAGCCTTGAGGGACCGGGTAAAACACTCCTTGGGAAGACTGAAATGCCCAAAACCGGGCGTGTTTGGGGAGTGGTGCGATTTGGGGGACTGGTGTGTTTGGGTGATGGTGGCGGTTGAAGCAATCTTATGACTGGAGCCCTGAAACGTGTGGAAAAGTTGGAAGCAACTTGCAGAGAATGGTTAGTAACACTATGTTGTTAGGAATTCCAGCGTGGAGATGCCCCTTGGATTGCTCCGGTAGGAGGGACCACCCAAGGATCCGAGGTAGTACCACCTTTTCGGAGCCCGGGGAGAGCCAGTGGAGAGGCATAGATCGTTCTTCTGCTTTGCGTGGAACATTGTGAATACTGCATTAGAAGGGAGCCTCGACCGATTTCGTGGTATGCAGGGCCCAAAACATGGCCTCGAGAGGTAAGCATGAAGGGGGTGTGACAGAAGATTCGGACATGAACGTGCATCCGGTAGCAACATTGTTCTGAAATGCCCAAGGACCGCATGATATTCACCTCCAAATAGTGGCAAACCTTCCCCTCACGTTTGGAAGTGAACAAGGCAGTTGCAGGCCAGGTGGTGGGCGACTGCATGAAACACTTGATGGCAGAATTCCAGCGCTTTGAAGTAGACTGGCGCACCGTAGGTGGGAAATAGACTGAAGTTGGAGAAGTGCAGGGCAAGCAAGGAACAGGTACGTACTCATTGTTTGGTGCCACACAAATAGTTGTGAGGGCAAGCATAGCACACAGGTACAATCCCCAATTCTGCGCAGAAAGCCAACCCCGTGCAAAAATCCTTTCATCTCATAAACTCCGAACATCTTCTGCAATCCGAACTGTCAACGCGAGGATCAACTGCGTTCTCGTGACGTACGGCCAACTCCCTGACCTGTAGGTGCCTGTAACACGCAGCATCGATGCTCCGCGGCCCTGCCTTTTGCCTGCTCCACAGAGTCGGCTGCTTTGTCCAGGCCACTGCCTGTGGTGACTGAGCGATGGTACAGCACTCGCAGCATTTCAACTTGGATGCTCTGAAAAAGACACGATGCTCTTGCACGAAAATGAGCAGTGACTTTCGTGTTTTGCTTAGGCTGATGGCACAGTTTGCCCCCTCCTATCTCATTCATTCTGGACTAGTTATTGTTGCATTCTTGCCAAGTCATTGCATGTATCTTCTCTGCCCTGTCTAGATCCCGCTTTTGCCTTTACATACGCATGCGCATTCTGGCTTCTGGCCCAAAGACTGTTCAGCCGCTTACATGCGCACAGGCTCGAAAATCACAGTGGATTCTCAGATATGTGTGTGTACACGCACATGAACATCTGTAGAATCCCGTCTCCCTAATGCTAAATGTTCCCCCAATACTAAAAAACGACTTTTGAAAATCCAAAATCCGGGCATACTACTTTTAGAATAGCCAATGCTAAGCCAATTCTAAAGTAGGTATTTTCCCGCCCGTGCCCAAATCAAGACCCTACGGCCGTACTACAAAGTTGAGACTTTCGAGCCGGAGCTCCAGGAATACGTTTTCTTTACTACGGCCGTACTACAAAGTTGAGACTTTCGAGCCGGAGCTCCAGGACTACGTTTTCTTTACTACGGCCGTACTACAAACTTGCGACTTTCGAGCCGGAGCTCCAGGACTACAGTTTCTTTACTACGGCCGTACTACAAAGCTGCGATTTTCGAGCCGGAGCTCCAGGACTACGTTTTCTTTACTACGGCCGTACTACAAACTTGCGACTTTCGAGCCGGAGCTCCAGGACTACGTTTTCTTTACTACGGCCGTACTACAAAGTTGCGACTTTCGAGCCGGAGCTCCAGGACTACGTTTTCTTTACTACGGCCGTACTACAAACTTGCGACTTTCGAGCCGGAGCTCCAGGACTACATTTTCTTTACTACGGCCGTACTACAAACTTGCGACTTTCGAGCCGGAGCTCCAGGTCTACGTTTTCTTTACTACGGCCGTACTACAAACTTGCGACTTTCGAGCCGGAGCTCCAGGACTACATTTTCTTTACTACGGCCGTGCTACAAAGTTGCGACTTTCGAGCCGGACAGGACTACGTTTACTACGGCCGTACTACAAACTTGCGACTTTCGAGCTCCAGGACTACATTTTCTTTACTACGGCCGTACTACAAACTTGCGACTTTCGAGCCGGAGCTCCAGGACTACGTTTTTTTTTTTTACTACGGCCGTACTACAAACTTGCGACTTTCGAGCCGGAGCTCCAGAACTACGTTTTCTTTACTACGGCCGTACTACAAACTTGCGACTTTCGAGCCGGAGCTCCAGGACTACGCTTTACTACGGCTGTACTACAAAGTTGCGACTTTCGAGCCGGAGCTCCAGGACTACGTTTTACTACGGCCGTACTACAAACTTGCGACTTTCGAGCCGGAGCTCCAGGACTACATTTTCTTTACTACGGCCGTACTACAAACTTGCGACTTTCGAGCCGGAGCTCCAGGACTACATTTTCTTTACTACGGCCGTACTACAAACTTGCGACTTTCGAGCCGGAGCTCCAGGACTACATTTTCTTCACTACGGCCGTACTACAAACTTGCGACTTTCGAGCCGGAGCTCCAGGACTACGTTTTCGTTACTACGGCCGTGCTACAAACTTGCGACTTTCGAGCCGGAGCTCCAGGACTACATTTTCTTTACTACGGCCGTACTACAAACTTGCGACTTTCGAGCCGGAGCTCCAGGACTACGTTTTCTTTACTACGGCTGTACTACAAAGTTGCGACTTTCGAGCCGGAGCTCCAGGAACAGGGGGGGCCCTAAAGCCGCTTTTTCCCGGGACCCACTTAGTATTAGGGGGGGGCGTTTAGCATTGGGGGGAAGGGATTATACGCATGCATGCATCCATGTTTGCATAGTTGTGCATATCAGGCGAGCAACATGATGTCATCAATGAGTTTGCATCGTCCGAATCTGGTTCCCCTATGCTTGACATGGGTATGTAGTGGCTTAGCTTTCAAGCCGAACACTTCGATCACACATGCACGGTCAATGTTCAGTGTTGTTGTTGCATCATGATTGATATTGATATTGGATATATTCCGTCCTTTGATGACGCAGCTGCAACGAGATGAGCATTGGTTAATGCCCAATCGTAATCCATGTTCATACAACTCTGTGTCACAACAGGGGACCCCCAAAGTCGGCGATCCTTTTGTTTTCCCCCTAAACCCACCTAAAAAGGCCATGCGAGTTGGCAGGCACGGTACACTAGAACCTTCTAGTCGTATGGAAAACACACTGTTGCAATCCCTAAGACCAATTGACAAGCAAAGACCAGAACATCTGCGGGTTGCGATTTTCGGTGCGCAACGATCAACATCTAAGTTGCGTTGCGAAAGCGGTGGGAATATATCGGTCAGTTTGGGACTCCTGACTGCTTGGTCCAGCATCAGCTCGATTCAACAAACAACCCCGAGCTGACGTTCCCAAGCGCCAGTGCTCCAAAAGTGATGTGCTGCCTGTGTTCAACCAGCAAAAGCAGCGGCCAAGGAACTTCTTGCCATAACTTGGCCCCCTCATGACCCCTCTCCGCCAAGGACAAAGGCCCAAAGGTTAGGCTCCAAACAGGCTTGACTGCCGGGCGGCTCCGCAGGAACTTTGCGATGGCGCTCAAGGCTTCTTCTTCCATGGCTCTATGGAGATCCCATCAGAGACCAGAGCTTTTGGAGAAAAGTTTGAACCTGGGCCTTTGTAGGGTTGCTCCCTTTATATAACAAACAATATTGATGCTGTTGACTCCCTGCAGACAATAAACAATACAAACATGATAGCAGGCATCCCACCAGGAATCAATTCCGAGCACGTGGCTGGAACAACGTACGATTCACCGTCTCGCCGTGCTGATGTGCGGCTAACTGTCAACTGCTTGAAGCTATAGTTTGCTGCAGCACGTGCTCTAATTGGAATGCGCGAACCGGCAGCTGGATGGCATGTTGACGCTGCTCACTTTGTCAGCCAGCTCTGGATGAAAGCCGCTCGCGCTAGATGGAGTCTCACACGGTGGATGAAGAAGGTACTGCACCTCTAGAGAAATGCATTACAGGTGCTGCCACAGTGCTCTAGAGCCCTCAACGGCAGCAGCTTGTCTGGTAGAGAGCGCTGAGATGGAAAGGCCAAAAGCAGAGTGAAGGGTAACCAGTCTAAGACATCACGAGACAACAACATCAACACCAAGCACCTTGTATGATTTCGAGTGCCAGCTTTGCAATGAAGCAGTTGTTCTGCCAATCAGACATTACATTGTTCTGCCAATCAGAGAGTACATTGAGACAAACTGGCTGAATGCACACCTCTTGCGGTCATGGACAATTCAGCAAATGCATGTATAGAAAAGGGGCGGGATTCCCCTGAGCGCAAACAGGTCAAAGACAAATAAACACCAGCACTGGTACGATATTGCGCTGCAAGGATCTCCGATCTGTTGCAACAGCGACTGACAAAAGTTGCTGGTTGCTGTCCATGGGCCTCAAGATGCCTCAAGCTTTGCTGGCAGAGCTGCTCTTCAATGGGAGCCAAATTGCAGTTGTCGCTCTGGTGGTACCGGCCTCTGACGCTAGTGACAAACCAACTCACTCTGATATGAACGTGCATAGTGAGTATGGTATGCTAGTGTTGTGGCCGCATTGTGCAACAAGTGTGGTATGTTGTGCGTGTGCCCCGCGCAAGCTGCTCTGCCCTTTCTGTGCAATATGGTTGGTCTATTCAGAGACTCGTGCTGAACAAGCGCTTACTTTAATCAGTAATATTGTATCATTTGCCAATGCTGCCATACTCGTGCCTGAACTATGTTTTTGCCAGAATGGAAGCAACCGGACCAGAAAGCCAAGCAAACTGATATACTTTGTTATCATCAAACCATCCCTTCCTCCTACTCATGAATTCAATCAATACAGTATTACTTGCCCCAGACTCTAAATCTTCCAACACTATATAAATTAGAATGAAATTCAACAATGCTAAGCCAGTTCTCCAATTTCCCGCCGCCCCCAACACTTTAGAACCCATTGATGCTAAACCAACGCTGAACCTAAGCAACACTAAACGAACACCAAACCAACACGAGAAATTGAACGATGTTGAGCCTTGGAAAGGGGAGGAACCCATGAGGACCGCGGAGCCCACGTGCTACCCGACGGTACCCTACTAGAGATTGGTCCGACCCCAATTGTGTATTTTAAGCAGGGAAGGGGGCGAGAAGGAATGGGTTTGAATCATTTGATCCTGGGCCTCAGCATTTTGTCCGATGCCGACTGTTTTTCGGGACCACTTGCATATCTGTGTCCAAGCCTCCACACCCACTCTAAACCGTAACACCCCTACATCAAAGCAATGAACACAATGACTGGCTGGTGCATGGCAACCTCTCGTTTGCTTGTTTGCTCGTTGTTTTGTGGCAATTAAATAGATAGCTCCTGCTCGTCCCCAACAACCAGGCAAATGAACCCCCAGGTCCGAAACTTTGCGCGCACAGCACATCGCAAGTTCATTTTCACGGCAAGAGCTTCTTCGGCTCCACCACTTCCGCGCCCGGCTCCAGCAATGGGGGGTAGTACTCACCCAGAGACGGCAGCGGGCCACGATAGGGCCCATGGAGAACCTGACAAAGGGATCCCTTTCGAAATCAAGGTTCTGGCAGTCAAAACCTGAAGTCTGGTTGAATTTGATCAAGACACATTCAACAGTTCATACATCTGTGGTCTATGGTTCAGTCAAGTTTTCGGCAAGCAGTGTGCATTTGGTCAGGGGTGCTGGGACCTGCCAATTAAGTGTTGAGGTCCTTCAACAATCTGCAATTGCCATGGAAGCCTGTCAGATTTGTCCAATGACCATTTGAAAGGAACGGTACGGTGATTTTGCCCGCACAATGCTGTGCCGTCCGGCTTTTTGTTATCGAAAGTCAGCTGCAAGAGTCATTGAAATTGATGCTGAAAGTGCTTGGCTGCTGCGGCCAGAACGGATTCCAGGAGAAGGGCTGCTACAACACCACTAGTACGACACACAAAGCCTGATGAAGCCTACAATGACCAGGCTTGTGCTGGCTACCTACATGCACACAATACCAACCTCATCATCGTCAACATGTCCTCATCATGCCGGAATCGTCCAAATCCTTCTAATGGAGACCACACGTTCGCTGCATAATCGCTTGATCGGTGCCATGCCCGTGAGTTGGCGTTTGGTCGCGCGACTCTCCCCTGCCCGCCTTGGGATACTCCTTGAGCATGGGGTCCGCGCCTAAGCGATATCTGGGCTGCAGCATGTCTGGGTAGATCAACTGCCGGATGGTCCTGGCAATCTGCGACATACCGAATCCAAGCAAAGGACTCTTTTGGACGCTAAATGGATTCAAGCAACAGGGCTCGGGCATGCTTCACCCACATTGCCGTGTGATGCAAGCAGGCACCAGCTTGAGAGAACCCACATGGCCTCACTGAAGCGCCAAATAGTTCAGACCCAACGACACTGCAACTCTTGCCAAACATGCTGCTGAGCTGCCAGCTGCAAACAGGCGCTAGAGGACAGCCACCCAACAAGAAGTCAGAAGCAGTCAGCAAAAGGTCGTCCATGCAGTTGTTTTGCAGGCGTTTTCCTTCACACCCAATAGAAACCAAGGCTTGACTCCCTCGCAGTCAAAAAAACGCAAGCAGAAACCAACAGGGAGCCAAGCACGAAATGATGAACTCTACGACAGGCCCCTTTTGTTTGCCACACTGCTGCACTTCTGTGCACTGTGCTACACTTCTGTGCACATATACGCAAAGATCGCACCAGATTTCAGTGAACATACGCCTGTGCGGCTGCATGTTCAATAGCTCCGAAATGGGGATCCACATCTCAAGGCAAATGCCTCCAGTGTGAGCTGCGCAGGGTGCTCAGCTTGCCGTTTGGGTCAATGATCAGGCTTGCCCTTACACAAGTGTCTTTCTCCGCAGACCACGTAAGGGAAATGCTGGTCTTCGCTCCAGAGCCATCAAAGGCCATCGTGTCAGGCGCATGAACCAGGAGGTCGGGTTCAGGAACATCTGCGCGTGCCTTGGACACGTCCAGCTGTTGAAGCAGAACGCCTTCTAGCGAGCCTGAGGCGCTACTCTCAGGCAGATCCGCTGCCCACACATCGCCAGTGGCAACTTTGACCTCATTAGTTGTCCAGGTCCAGCCAGGTGACGACGCCGGCTTTTGTTCACAGAAGCCAGGAAGCTTGGACTCTGGGAAGGGGGAATCGTCCAGGGCATCCCGAATTGACGTAAACTTGTCAAGGCGCCACTGCACGCCATCGGGGTCGCCCATGTAGAGGAGCACCGCACGAGCCCGGCGGGAGCGGAAGCGGCAAATCAGCTCCACTGCAGCAGTGTTCTGACGTGACGAAAAGTCCAGGGTGGACCAAAATGCGACACCAGTGTCCGGCAGGACAATTAGGCTGTTCTTCGACGGAAGCGCGCAAAAAGAGTCTGCAGTGAGCACTGGCATGGGCACAATGCGAGGCGCATCTGCACCTTCGTAATATGTGTTGGTCTGTGCGATGGCCGAATGCTCCACGCCAGATGTTGATACGACACTTGGACTCAGGGCACACACGGCAGAAAAAGCTGGGGCCGCTTGCAAGCGGCCTTCCAACATCTGGTAGCGGGTCCATGTGCCACGCCACTCGCCAATGCCGGCAACGACAAGCCTGTCCCAGTGGCGCGTAAGAGCCGACTTTGCAAACATTGCCCTTGGCCAGTGGCCCAAGATCGTCTGAATGCAGGGCGATCCGACTAGTTCTCTTGCTTAATAGCTAGTGTCCATGCCTCCTGAAGGGGTGTTTTGAAGTTGGGTTTGCTGTGCTTAGAAGGCATCTAGGCGAAGTCATCGCTGCTCAGATTGAGAGACATTCTGGCACAGAGTTGAATCACCTACACATTTGGATGCAGAAGCAAATGGCTGCGAGCTGCCAATGAAGCGCAAATCGAGCAACAGCTAGAACGCAGGCGCTGGCTTTGTTCAGTCCTGTCCAAATGTAAATGTATGAGCCTGCAACTCGACCCAAACACACACACACACACACACACACACACACACACACACACACACACACACACACACACACACACACACACACACACACACACACACACACACACACACACACACACACACACACACACACACACACACACACACACACACACACACACACACACACACACACACACACACACACACACACACACACACACACACACACACACACACACACACACACACACACACACACACACACACACACACACACACACACACACACACACACACACACACACACACACACACACACACACACACACACACACACACACACACACACACACACACACACACACACACACACACACACACACACACACACACACACACACACACACACACACACACACACACACACACACACACACACACACACACACACACACACACACACACACACACACACGCGCGCACATGGGACACAGCAGGATCCCACATGTTACATTCACTTCATTCAAATGTTGGATTCATTGAGCCTGCAACAACAACTCTGAGTATGCCTTCATGATCTACATTGTTATCCTTTCGGAGTATGACCAATAATTTGTGGAATATCATGACAATACCCATGCCCTCCAGGAAAATAATGTGGTTGGGCCGAAGACCTCTAAAGATTCAGGCAGCTCGTCATAAGGATCAGCTAGAAACTCCACAAGTCGAACAAGCACATTGGAGAGGCCCACTGTAAGTTGCTTCCTTATAGCACCCATCAGGACCCCAGCCGCGACATCATCAGGGAGATTAGCATTTAACAAAGCTTGGCGTCGAGGCACTTGCAATGTGAGCATGCCATCGCGAACTGCCTGACCCAGGGAACGAACAACAATGCTAACAACACTAACACACACACATATATATATATATATGTGTCAGGCAACCACACATGAAATGTGAAAAAAAACAACTGTTTGGATTGTTGGTTTTGATTTTAGGATGTTCAATCAAGCTTTTTGTGGCTTTTTGAATCCTAAATGATGTGGTGTATTCGGGATGTTGTAGGGCTGTTTCCGGTGTGAGATGCAGTTCGGGTCTTCCCCAATGCTTCTTACACACACACACACCACATCGCTACTTTGCAACCTATTGGAACAGCAAACATCAGCCACTCAAAACATTCAATCACAACAGGCACCATACACAAACGCGCACAGTCCGAATCATATAACCCTAGAAGCCCAACACAAGCAAAGCATTTCAACAGAGCAAGCACAAGCACAAGGAAACCAAAACCACTCCACGCCAAAGAAACATGTCAGCATGGCTTTGCCCTGAACATATTGGATCTGTTGTTCTCTTCGGTGCTTTGCTCTGGAGGACCTTTTGAACGGCTTTTGGATCCTCTGTGAGTCTACGGGTGTTTCGAGGTTCTTGTTTTTGGTTTTGGGTTTTGGGATGTTTTGGGTCTGCGTTGCTGCATGAGCTTCCCCATGCAATGGAAAGCTTCGCGAGCAAAAAGCTCAAACACAATTGCCGCGCTGTTTGTGCAGTATAAAGCTCCAGAAATACAAGTGATGCATCGTTGTATGTTCAAATGCATCAAGCAAGTCCGGCTTTGCATTTGTTTGTGTTGCTCAGGCACTGGCCTTTCCCTGAGACACTTGCTCACTGAAATGTTGGCTGAGTGGTTTGGAGTCCACATGCCGCACTGAACAATCACGGAGCTACACAACTCGGGGTCAATCGGGACACACCCAAAGAAACGGAATTTTATGAACAAAAGGCGGTTTTCAGGGTTCCTTGTTGAGTTACAGAAGTGTAGACCCCGAAATCAACCCCCTTCCCGAGCAGTCCTCACTGCACGTGTGAGCCCAAGCCCGAAGCGCGCAGAGGTCCCGATCACCGGGATCTCGTCGTCGTACCGGGCCCGGAGCCGGTAGAACAAGCTGTCCAGGTGAAACCTGAGACCAGGGATCTGCAAATTCTCCAACTCCAAAACCTGAAACAAGGGAATCGACCCGAGCTCTTTTTGCCAGGTGAGCTCGTCATAAAACAGGCAGCCAGGTTTGCCCTGTCCACGTGGAAACACCGTCATTTTCCTCAACGTCAAAACGGGAAAGTCAAATCAGAAAAGACCCCAAAAAGGGAAACTTAGGGAACCCCATTCCTAGAGCCTTCGTCTCAGGTTTTCTGCACCAGTATTACAGGGAGTACTCTTTGCCTTTTTGTTTTCACCCCGGAGTGTTCGAAGGATCGCACTTTGACCCTCAGAAATAGTCGACAATTGGGGGTCTCATTCTTGGGGTCAGGGTGAAAGCCTGGCCCTGTCCCCATTTAACGAACCACGCGGGTACAATGCGAAGAACCCCGAACCAGTGGTGACCAGAGCTCAAAGGATCAGCCACAGTTTGCTCATGACACCAACAACCAGGCAAAACTCCTTCTCACCGGGCAAGCTTCATTTGCGCAACTGCATTTTTGGGAGCCGATATTTGGGGTACGCAGATTTGTCAACCGTCACCAGTCACCGTTAAAGCACAATATGTTTCTGCGACGTATGGGCAACCTGACTCATGGTAGTCATAGCAGGAACAGGAATGATTATGCCAATGGGCGGAACAATTTTCCAGTGTCAGACAATGGCCAGTCATGTTGCATCGGTCCGCATCGGTCTGCAAGGAGAACCAAAGGTCGCACATGCTTCCCACATGAACGCCAAACGTCGATATTTCTGCTGGCGTTCTGTGCCGGCAGCAAGGCCCAAACATGGAAGGGGTGAGCAGTGCTTTCAGAAATTAATTCGTGTTCATCAGTTGGGCACCAAAGCGAGCGGCCTAGGCCATCAAATCTAACAAGATCCTGCCATCTCCAGAACCTGCCGGGCAGCAAAGGATCCCGGTGGAGCATATCGCACTTTGTGCCGATCACCATCCATGGCTTCTCTTTGTTCAGGGGGTCAAAGAGCATGGCTTCCTGCCAGGTATCGAGCCCACTGAGTCCAACGAAGTATCCAAGGATATTTCAAAACTTATGGGAAAGCCAGCAGCGCAAGTCAACGCAAATCGACTCTAACGTGCAAGACTCCAAGTGCAAAGCTCCCCAAATATTCAACTAATGCACATGCCGCTTGATCATGAACAGACCTCCGCAGCCTCAAAATGTCTCTGTGTGTGTCAAAGTAGGGGAGCCCCCAAAATGGGTGGTGCCCCTTTTGGTTTCCCCTTAAACCCTTCCAACATGGAGACCCATGGTACCCTCAAACACACAAAACACCTCAGCGGCTCCAACGAGGCCCGTATGCAGGGCCTGGCGGAGCATCTCCACTTCCTCCAGGACCTATGCGTGACCCGTGTCTCAAAACGGACCCTCTTTGGGTGGCCTTAAGGGAAACCGAAAGGAAACCTATCTTGGGATTCTCGTTTGAATGTCGATACCCGACTCATCCAAGGGGTACTAAATACACGTTGTTCGAAAGTTATTCTCTACTAGCACCCAATACTAAGCCAGTACTAGATTGGGGAAACGCCGATCTGACCCCCAAATAGTTTTACCGGTTTTCTCCATTGGAACGAAACAAAGTGCTTGGGGGGGCCCTTTAAGAAATCAGTGACCCACATGGTTGAGAAAACCCGCATCCTACGATACACCAAGCATACACCAAGCTGCAGAAAAAGCTTCCCCAGAAAAGAAGCTTCATGGGTGAGCTCGTTTTAACCTCAATGAGCTCACTATGATTCATGCAAGCTCCTGCCGAAACCAGAAGTAACAACCGTTGGCTTCAGAATGGTGTCGGACGCAATCAAGGCAAGCCCTTCGGACGCCGTGGAGCAATGGAGGTGACTAGTTCAAACTCGAACGAGTGGCTTTGTAGCCTGTCATTGGCTTCCATTGTTGCAAGGGATGAGCATCATTTACAGCCATTGTTTTTGGTACTATATAAAGCCTGTGCTACCCTGAAATTGTTGCGCAAAAGGGTCCCCCCAAAAAACTGGTTGGTCCACATGTGTCTACAAACCGGAGTTTGTTGAGTTGCATGTCAGACACTGTCACTGTGCATCCTGCTATGCATAGAACTATCTCTTGGATCCAGGTTGTGTCGGTCGCCGTGAAGGGTGCCTGTTTGACAGAATCTGGGATTGTCTCTAAATGAGGGCACCCCCAAAATGGTGGTTGTTGTTTTGGCTTTCCTTGAAAGCCAACCAAAAAGGGGTTCCCCTAAAAAGGACACACACCCCATTGATCTACCCAAGCTGCCTGGACGATCAGTTGCTTTCAGATCAATCCTCACCACTACAAACGCACAGTACGAGTTGCTTGCAGTCAGCAAAGTCATTGGTCCAATGCCAAGGAGAGCAAGGCTTCGGTTGCAGCTGGCCATGTCTTTCAATATCGTTCCGGCGTCCAGCAGGCGTGGAAACAAAGCATTGCCCTTGTGCCATAAAACCATGCACAACCATTGCAAAAATTGAAAGCTCAAGTCCCTCCCGCCTTTGAGCAACTGATTCGCCCACTGAAGATCACAGCACCAGTTATGAATCGTTGACCACATTGAATACACTTGAGATAGAGGCAAAGTCAGCCTTGTAGCAGTCTGCTGTGAACATCGGCATGAATACTCCCACACACACACAGTGTTGCTTCATCAGTCAAATTTGTTCAAGCAAACGACCTTCTAGAAGCTCTTGGGACACAGATCTATGCGACTGACAAGCTGTTCCAAGTGTCTGTGCTCCCTTGTGCAAATGGAGGAATCCCCGCTTCTACGGACTCCATGGAAAGCACAGACCTTTTTGGGGACCCCTCCCTGCCCTTCCGAGCTCCGAGAGGCGTCATCTTCCGACCTCTCGCCCCTGGCCACATCCACAACGAAAATCAGCGCCCGCGAGCGGTAGGTGTGGCGCAGGATGCGACGCCCCATCAGCTTGTCCTGTGACCCCCGGCTTTTGGATGAAAACCACCCATTTCTGTTCCCTGCCTAGTTTGATGTGCCAACAAACATAATCATGTAGATCCCTGCTTGATGGTACATGATGGTACCTCTGGAAAATGCTCTCTCACGGCGATCTGAACTCAAATCTAGTGTTCGAAAGGCAGCATGAGCCAGCCAGCCTGTTGCAATGGCATACCAACGTCAGCCAGTGTTCTACTTGCTCTGAAATGCACTTTAGAGGCCAACGGCGCATCTCACTAGGATCAGTCTCCGTTTGCCAACTAACATGAGGCCCTCCTAAATTGTCTTCTGAGAAATATTTGATGCGCTTCGGGTCTTGCCGAGCTGCCTGCCAGCCAACCGCCCAATCAGCGAAACCGTGACAAATCAAGCACGCAGGTAGGCAAGCAAGCAGCATCGGATATACAAGCCCTGCCCAATGCCGTCCTCATGGGCGCCTGCAGAAAGACCCGGCAGATCGCACAAACGGACCTCAAGGCCTTGGTGTCACGCAAGAAAGGCATTGGTGAAGTTTGTTCGAGCTGGTTTGGCGCAGATTTGTCTGATTTGATCTTGCCTGGTTTGGTAATTATAATCTTACCTTGGAGGTGAGAAGTGGCTTGCTGTGACATCTCGTTTTGGTTGGGTTGGTTTGGGCAAGATGATCTCTTCTAGTTGTGACACTTGTGCTTGGTTGGTGGTTAGGTTTGATACTTATTCCATTGAAAGCAGCGCACTTATTGACTACGTGGAGCAGCCAGGGAAGACTTCGAAGAGCCTCTTGTACATTACGAATGCAGTAGGCCTCAGTAGACTCGACTGCATTAGTGAAGACCCTCAGAAGACAAACTTGTGGAGTGTTTCATTCGAAGAACGAATGGAATACGCTATAAGAGCAGGATGAGCGCATCGGTCTCCCCCAAGTGCACAAGCAATGCAAAGGGAGAACATGGAAGGAACAAAAGGAGGCATAACAGCCATAGCAGCCGAATTACAATAAACACATTCTTTTGGATGAGAACAGCATGCTGCAATGTGCCTACCAAACAATACAATACAATCCAAACATGAACACACACACACACACACACAACAGCACAATTTGACACGTGATGATGCACACACGCAAACACAAACAAAGGTGTCATCTTGCCGGCCTCAGGAACGATGCAGCATGATGTTGGGAACAGTCGATTTTCCTGCAAATGTATCAGTCGCAATGAAACCACGCCTGCGTCACCTGGTAGCTTCCACATCTTAGCTGCCTCGCTCCTCAATTACATTGTGCTCCATGAGAATCGCAACTGCTTGACCTCTGTAAAATTCGCTTCGCGGTCAACAAGCAACTGGACACGAATCCCATCCGCCCGGTTCGACCAATTGAGTCGAGCGTCGGTCGCGGAAGCGGAGCACGCCTACGTGTGGCCTTGCCGAAGCTCGTGGAACCGCACGAACGCTCTGGCTTGCATAAACACATATTACGTGCTGCTTGGTTGCGAGGACGACATCTTGCACACTTGGTGGATCTGTGGATAAATGTCGCTACATGGCCTGTCTCGACGTTTATAGGACATGTTCAGTGGCTGGGATCATAGGGCAATGAGGCGGCAGCCAAAAAGACCCGGGCACTAGCATTCTCATCCATAAGTTGGTGCCTGACATTTTTCGCGCGCGCGCCCCGCCCTTCTAAGTTGCTTGCCAGCTGAATCATTGAAACAGTTTTTTGCTCTGGACTTGGTAAAAAGGTGTTCTAACGGCAATTTGTGTATTTCGAATATCCCTTAGAGGGGTGGTTTGAGGGTAACAGCAACCCTGCGACCAAAGAGAGAGAGGGAGAGAGAGCGAGAACATGACAAAAACAGAGAGAGAGAAAGAGAGAGAGAGAGAGGGAGGAGGAGTAACACAGCAAGACAGAGAGAGAGAGAGAGAGTGAGTGAAGTAAACTCGAAGAAGTTGATAGAGATAAAGAAAAAAAGAGAAAGAGAGAAAGAGAGAGGGAGAGAGAGAAGCAGAAGGACAACGAAAACAAAAATCAAACATCAAATGCACACAAAACTAAGGATCCATTATTGGCTGTCATTCACCTTAGGTTGGTTCTTGAGCTGGTGGCTTTCCTTGGTTGACATCTTAGGACGTGCATCTCATGGATTCTTGAATTACAGTAAAAAGGATAATAAGGAAGAGTTCTATCACATGATCATGTCCTTCATGTATTGGCATATAGCTTGAAATGACCAGAATTTGAGAACAAGGTTGAAATATGCAATCCGGAATGACACTATGTTTATTCCTTCTGCATTTTTGATTGGATTTTTGTTTGCAACTCAAGGAACAAACAACAAACAACCAAGCAAACAAGCAAACAAACAGCCGGCCAGCCTGCAGGCAGGCAGGCAGGCAGGCAGGCAGGCAGGCAGGCAGGCAGGCAGGCAGGCAGGCAGGCAGGCAGGCAGGCAGGCAGGCAGGCAGGCAGGCAGGCAGGCAGGCAGGCAAACCAGGAAACGAAACGCATGTTGTATACAAGTGAACCAGCGCGTCAGAACGAGAAAAAACACAGACACACACACACACTCACATACAGAGACAAAACTAATACAAAAACAAACACTGCGAACCCACTCGCGCTTGCACAGGGACATGCCATGCACGAATTAGCCTTATCTACCTGCAGAGGACCAACAGTGTCCCCACAGCCTCGTGTTGCAACATGGCCCCTCCGCTCAAATCGCCTGGTTGTGCTAAACTCCTCGGGGCCGATGCGTGTGTGCGCCCGGCTCATGGCAGCCTGCGGCTCATGCGGCCGAAACCGGCGAAGGCCGTGGCAGGAGCCGTCCGGAGCCCTGCAACTGGACAAGCACCACCCTTTGGATAGTGAAGGCATTGCATGCTTTGGATCTGGCCTAAGAAACACAGCTGAACCACACATTTGGCTAACACAATGCTCAATGTCGCAAAAAGGGGTACAGGACAAATTGGCGCAAATATTGAAGCGCATCCAAGTCTTTTGATGTTCAGCGAAGTGAGTGCACTACTAATGCCAAATGAACGAAGAAATCATCATGGTTCTCGGTAAAGACAAGAAAGAACACTTGCCAAGGAACACACCTGGGGTCTGAAACTTGCCAGCTCCCCTGGAAACAAACGCAAGCCCGGAACAAAAGCAATTCCCCTCTCACACTGTCAATGCAAACACGAATTGCAAAGTCCTTGGCGCCGAGGGCATAGCTCTGGCTCTGAACTTAAGCTCAATTACCATCTGCTTTGAGGCTAACCTGACCTTCATAGTTCACTAATGCAGAATTGCAAAAGGGGAAGAGTGGGCAACAAACTAAACATGCTATCTACGTGCCCATGCCATTGAACTGGATGAAATCACACTTCACAACGGCAACAAAAGGGCAAGGAGGCAAACATCATTCCGGGAAAGGTTCAGTGCCAAAGTTAGGGGATCCAACATGGCTGGCTGATTTCCTTGCGGCTTCCCCTTAATTTGTGGCTGAATTTCGCCCCAGCCGCCAGTAAGGAGGTCTTCCCTGCGTTGGGCTTGCCGATGAAGGTGGCGTCGTTCATGACGCGCAGCTCCAGCTCCAGCCTAGCCCTTGGCTGTTGGAAGTCGCCCAACCGAAGGAGTCCCAGTGACATTTGGCTGTGGGCCAAAACGTACCCCTGGTGTGAACAAAATAGGTGGCACTCCGCCCCATGGCGGCATAGGTTATGACCCGTGGCCTTTTAGCGCCAAGGCCCCTTTTTTGGACCATCATTCTGGCAACCAGCAACCACACAACTGCATGGTAGTTTGTTAAATCAGATCATCAGTCGTTCGGGCAGATGTTTGCTTGCGACACCGAACGATGCTGTTGGAAGCCATTCCCCAAGCAAAACGATTCCTTTGGGCAGGGCTTCAGGCCAACCGTAACTTTCACAACAGAAAGGTGACATTCACTGCCACTAGGATGTAAACATGGTGCTCCAGTGTTTCCCTGGTACCGGCCCGGGGTAGTTCTCGAACGCGTGTGGATCAAGGAGGCATACAAGGCAATGAGCTGCCGCCAGCTCCAATTTATGGGCTATGGATATCAGAATCTGTCGAGCTTCAAGAGCTTAACGGATCTCAATAGCATCTGGCCATTAACATACAAAAGGTCTATGGTCATGACACTCTGATTTAAACACAATTCTTGCTGAGCCTAAGGTGCAGTGCGGTCAATATATTATGCTGGTGGCTTCGCCTTTTGGGATACAAGCAGTCTTCCTCTTTGTGCTGTCATATCATAAGCCATGTAGTGTGAAACACATTTCAATACCGGACAGCAACTTGGTTCCGATGTCACCGCCCATATTTGTCCACGCATTGCGGGCATGATAGCTGCGGCGAACAGTTGCGCTGTCAGACTATCACGCAAAAGTCGCAACTATACTTTAAATATTGGCAACTGCGCTCCCACATTGTCTCTTCCTGCCGGACTTCTTTACATTGTAAACAGTGGCCACCAGCGCCGTCTTTGTCCCAGGCATTGCTCGTGTCAGATGTGTGTTTGCGCAGTTGCTCTTATCGGATGTGCGTGAGAGAGACAAATGTGTCAACATAGGGGACCCCTTAGCCCTTTTTGAACCAGCCCAACAAGGGGTACCCTCAAAAATGCACGCCCATATGGAAGTTCCGCCCGTGCGTTTTTGGGCCCGGGCGCCGGTACCCGTGGGTGCCCCTGCGGCCATCGCCCTTCTTGAAGCTCTTAGGGCCGATGCCCCCGAACCCCCCCTTGGCCACCAGGAAGGTGTCCTTGTCCCGGAGAAACCTGAGCCACCGACCGATAACATATTTGGAATAGACTTACATACCTTCTGTGATGGGGGGTTTTGTTGCAAAGTCGCTTGTGATGGTATTGAAAAAAACCAGGAAAGGACCCTCTCACTAGGCTTCATGGGCATGCCATTTAGGGACAGCAACCAGCGCAAGGGCGCCGAATCCCAAGAAAAGGAACGCACCTTTGTGCAAAGGATTGCCCCCAAACAGGGGTTCGCTCCTTTTCGAAAAACACCCAGCGGTGCCCAGGCGCTCCGTCTCACCATGCATCTGCCTGAAGCCTTGCATCTTGATTGAAAAAAACAGTGAGCTGCCAAGTGAGCTTCACAATGGCACCATAACAAGCGCGCAACCCGCTACATGGCGGAACGTTGATGCGACCAAAACGGTATTAGGGCCATCGCTTCCGGGCTTGCCAAGTTGGCGAAACGTGGCGCTGGACATCAAGGAGCTGCTGGACTGACGAGCAGCTGTTTGCTACTTGCCGGCGGGCCACAGTGCTCGGCTGCCCGCGGTATGTGTGTACATATACAAAAAACATATATCCATGTGCGTGTACATGTGCACATGCATACGCGTGTTTACTGGCAGCGCAAGCGGACCCCGCAACGGAGCCTTCTCTTCTCCAAGACAGTCATTGTTGGGGAAAATGGGACATGAGTTGCTTTCGGAACAAGTGTCGGGCAAATACGGCGGCCACTTGGTCAAAACGGTGTGCGGTGGCTTGGTAAACAAGCGGGATTCCTTCCCTTTTGTTTCAACAAACCTTCGCGCCTCACGCCCTTCACGACACTTTACTTTTCCGCGCGCAACCCTCGATTTGAAGAAGGGCGAAACAGCTAGGCGGCGCCCCCACGCTGGGCGAGAGCCAAGAAAAAGAAGCTCGTGTCAAACAAATGAAGATGGACGGGTGGATGGATGGATGGATGGATGGATGGATGGATGGATGGAGTGGTGGATGGGTGGGGATGAGGGAAGGGATGGAGGGACAAAGACGAAAGACAACAGAGGGAAGGGAAAGAAGAAAAGAGAAAAGAAACAGTTAAAAGAGAAAAAGAAACAGAAAAAAGGCTTGCTGAGGTTTCCTGAAACTGGGAGATCTGCAAGGCCGCGCGTCGCTGCTCCTCCTCCGAACTGGCAGTGTTGTTGGCGCAGCACACCTTCCACTGCTCATTGAGCTGCATGGCCTTGTTGAGGGTCTCCTGAAGCTGGGGGATCTGCAAGGCCGCGCGTCGCCGCTCCTCCTCCACCTTGGCACACCAGGCTCCCACTCCAGGCGAGCGGCGCGAAGGTCCTCGACAAATCAGGCCAGGCTTTTGCAAGAAAACCGCAAGAACCCCCGCCTGCTGCTTCTCTCGCTCCCGACATTCCTCGCCCTCCGCCTTGCGACGCCGCTCGCGATCTGCCTGCGTCACGGGGAAGTTTCACGCCCCGGGGCTTTGCGTAAAAGCTCGCAGCGCTCTCCGGCCACCGCATGACCTTGCAGCAAGGTTAACAAGCGTCACATGGAGAAGGCTTCATGGAAGCTTATATCAGCGCAGGCCGATACCGTACTACACAATAAATTTATCGATGGCCGCCATCGTGTGACGGAAAAGTCAGCTATTTCGATATGAGGATCTTGTTGATTGGACCTTAAGCTGGTGCCAAGGCATTTGGGGCTTTCATTTGTATCTGGTGTTTTCATTTTTTTGCAGTTGGCAGTTGGTCAACTCCCACTGGCAAGAATGCCAACGCATGAAGATCTTTTAGTGGGAAGTGTGAGCCCGTTGGCACAGTGGGTTCACTCTTCCACTGCCGCCAGTGAGACAGATGCATACTGTAGAAGCTGAGCCCCAATGATCAAAATTAATGGGCGGGGTAAAGGGTCATGACTTTTTCAATACCAAGCGCTGGCACACAGGACACCACAGCATTTTCAAAACCAGTGCTTTGATAGGGAGGGTATGTATTTATTCAAGCTTGCAGGCTACATGGACCTTGCGAACTTGTAACTGTCAGATCCCACGTCCACACATGTTGTTGAACTTTCTACCGCTGCTTGGTGCACCCCCGCATTGCCTGAAGGATGGCCCAGAGTGCCAGCATCAGGAGCCGGCCAGCTGCTCACCTTGCATCAAGTTGCTTCAAGCTGCCACCGGCAGATTGCTTTGCAACAGTCAGTTTCACATGTGGCAGTTTCAGACACCAGCAAACCTTTTCCTCCTCACGCATCACATGAAAACATCCTTCTTGAAGATTTGCCACTTGCCAGGAAGCCTTTGCCCTTGGCTGCTTCCTCAGGGCACAGTTTTGAGATTGTAGGCTTGAGAGCACGCTGGGCAATGTTTGTATTGAACAAGTAATGCCCTTGGAGTTCTACTTTTGGATTTACTGAAACCCAGGGGCGCTCCTTTGAGGTACATGGAAAGCCCCTTGGTTTAAAGTCAAGCCCAACAAAGACCAAACCAGACCAAAAGTGGAGCCCTAGAATGCTTTGTTGTTTTTGGACTGGCCTCGCGAGTGCGCTGGCCTGCAGTCTGATTGGCCTCATTGGTTTGCAGCTCCTTCTCCACGCAGTCCTGCTGCTCCTTCTGCTCCTTCTGATTTTTTTCTTCCTTCCTCTGCAGCCTCTTCTGGTTGAACTTGTCCAAGGCTTTCTGCCTCTTCTCCTCCAGTGCCGCTGCGCCATGCTTCAGCGACTTCATCTTTCCACCTTTGCCCTTTTGCAGGGAGCTCTCCTGTTTCTTCACCAGTGTTGTAGCCTTCTTCACCTCCTCGCCTTTCTCTTTTGCAGGGTCTTCTTCTTCTTCTCCGCCAGCTCTTGCACCTCCTCATCTTTGTTATCCTTTCGCAGTCGCTTCTTCACCTCCTTGACTGGCTTCTTCACCTCCTCGCTTTTCATCTTCTTCTGCCAGGTCTTCTTGTTTTCACATGGCTTCACCGGCTTCTCCTTCAGCATCTTCTGCTTCTTCACAGTCATCTCCACAGTCATCCTCCCTTTCCTACACTGCCAAGACCTGTTGCGCATGGATGAGTGACTGCCAGCAGCAGCCTGCC